TCTTCTCCTAACTCTGTCGATCAGTACTCGACCAAATATTTTACATGGAACCGATGTCAATGTTATACCACGCCAATTTCCACACTCAAATCACTTTCCTTTGGCAGTTTAATGATGAGCCCTTGTTTCCATTCTTTAGGTACTGTCTCTTGATCCCATATTGTTGCAAACAGGCCAGAAGCAAGTCAATAGTTGTATCTGTTTCCACCTTTAAAAGCTCTGCTGTAATCTCATCCTTTCCTCCAGCTTTCCCATTTTTCATCTTTCCTATTGCTGTTCTAATCTCTTTAGAAATGTGTTCAGTAATTTTCTCTATTATGTCATCATCAGCTAATAAGTCATATTCTGCTACAGGGTTGACTGGGATTGGTCTATCCAATACTTCCTCAAAGTGGTCCTTCTATCTCTTCTTTCTTTGAGAGCCCTCTGTTAGAAGGTTCCTTCTTTGTCTTTAACATAATTACATGCTTTGCCTTTGTTGTCACTAAGCCTCTTTGTGATGTCATAAAACTCTTTCATACGCCCAGTGCCTGCTGCATGTTCCGCTTGTGAAGCAAGATCTTTACCCATTGTCGCTTGTCCTTCCTCATACTCTTCTTCACTTCCTTGTCTTTATTCCTGTACAGCTCTTTGAAACTTTGCTTGAGTCTACTCCCCTAGTACTTTCTTCGCAGCCGCCTTGTGAGCATCCTCAAACTCGTGCCACTTTTCTCAACATCGTTCTTATCTTCCTCTGTATAATCATTAAAAACCTCAAATCTTTTTTTGAGTTCAATGGTGAACTTTGATCAGATGTTCGGCTGTTTTAGTTTAATTATGTGTCAAATTTTGTGAACAATCTTGTGTCATTCCATGGTAAAAAGAGTGCCTCAATAATGGGGGAAAAAAAAGCAGCTTTGCCTCATAGCTCAGTTGGTGGTGCATATAAACGGTAATCAGAGTCTTTAGTTCAAATCTTAATAAGAACAATAAGTTTTCTCAAAAATTTATTATCATCTATGGAGGTCTTTCTCATACGAAAGTTATTATCACAAGATTAAAGATAACTCATTACCACTGATTATTTGTATGTAGTTGAGACTTGTTTTATGTTTGTATATTGTTGTAAATTGACCTTTATCCTGCATGGGATCAGAAGTTGTACGTAAATTATAGGTATATCGTAAAATCAAGAGCGAAACAAATTTGTACATTAGATGTAGGCTATAGGCCTAATGTCAATACTCTACTAAAAATATGAAGCAATAATGGACCTGGATGACATAAGAAATCATACATTACCAACTGATGTACCAATACTGCATCCTAAACAATCTATATATTTTGTGTACAGATAAAGAAAAGCAATATTTGAAACATTTTTTAACTGAAACCTATCACCACCATTTCAATGGGAGGCGCTATATAAATCAAGAATTATTATTACAGGTCTCTCTCCAAAAAGAGACCACTTTTGGCACCGTGGTTTTCATGGTCTTTTGCAGCTACGGTCTCTAGGCCTAATCACAATAATTGAAATAAAAAATATTTGTTTGAAAAGTGGTCCTTATTATTATTATTATTATTATTCTACTAAAACCTAGTTTAAGGGGAACTTAGACAATGGAGAAATTAAAATTAGATAACAATAAAAGAAACGACGTTAAGGGGAAAATAACACGAAAAGATATTCCACTTAAGTCTGATTTAGAGAAAATATTATTATTATTATTATTATTATTATTATTATTATTATTATTATTATTATTACCCCAACAAAATATCTTTTAAATTTCTTTTTTAGATAAAGACATTGAAAACAAAATTACAGTAAAACATGAAAAAATTACAGTAAAACATGAAATCTCGTTCTTTTCCTAGGATGAGTACGCCTCAGATGCAAAGTTTAAAATGTAATGTATTTTTGATCGCATATGCAACATCCAAAACATCTCAAGGCTCTTTAAACAATGTACATAAATTAGAACAAAACAGAAACAGCCTAAATTCAACATTGAACAAGAAATATGGTTTTAATCTAATACATGTGTTTCAGCTGACTTGAAAAATCCTACTGGGGTGACTGGAGGGTAGAATCTATCATCATATCTAGCATTGCTCTGTAAGTTCCAGTGGATCCAGTATCTGCAGCGATCCCTGCTGTCTACTTTTCGTTTAATTAAAACCTGGTACTAGTACCTTGAGGTTACAAAGAAATGAGATCAGACTTAAGTGCATAAAAATGTTTCGCTTTTAATCCATGTAGAAAGTTTATACATCATTGTGTGATTTATCAGAACTAGTGGGAGCTAGGGCTGTATTCTGTGTTATTCATGCGTCTTCATACTAAATCAGCATTTGTAAAAACAAACACCACAAAAATTTATAATCTTGTGTCCATAATAAGACGTTATAAATTCCAAAGACATTTCTATGCCAGGGAGCAGATCACTCTATAATTGAATTGTGTTAGGTCTAGCTCCTCTTCACCCTAAATCAGTCAAATAGTGTCTGCCTGTAAGATAGATTGATTGCAAAACCCTTTTCAAGATAACTGCTAAAATGATTTATTTCATTCAGGAGAGGACAGCAAGGTTAATTTTGATAGAAGATTCTATGTCACCAACCTTGAATTTTTGTCTACCTTGGTGGATATTATTTTAATAACAATGTGGTTTTGTCAAGTAGAAAAAATCCCACAAAGTTTGTACATACAGTATTGAATGATTCTGGGTTCAAAGTCCTATAGGCTTACTTAGAATGTTTTGATCTTTAGATCATGCATAAGCTTTTGTATTTGGTAAGCTTTCACATTTGTAAGCACGTCTTTTCACAATTTTTTCAATATGCGAAAGAGGTTGCAAAGGTACTCGGTAGTGTCATCAGAAATTTATGTAAAAATACATGATGTGCACAATTGATAATTAATTTTCTGATGATGGTAATTACACTGCTGACATCCTTTATTAAACACATCACATATTACAACTTCAAGAAACTAGAGATCATGGTAGCAATGGTGCTATCCCACTCTGCCTTCTCTGTCTTCTATTCTTAAAAGAAAAAAGTGAATCGCTTCGACAAATTTCAATGGGGAGGGAATTTCACAATGTTGACATACAGCCAAGAAATGAACGATTAAGGGTGTTACACCACACAAAAGATATCGGAAATTTAATTAATTTTCTGATGATGTCAATTACACTGCTGACATCCTTTATTAAACACATCACATATTACAACTTCAAGAAACTAGAGATCATGGTAGCAATGGTGCTATCCCATGTAAATTTTTTATTAATTATGTAAATGAGCAATCACTTATTCACACAATCACAAAAATCAATAGACTCTGCCTTCTCTGGCTTCTGTTCTTAAAAGAAAAAAGTAAATCGCTTCGACAAATTTCAATGGGGAGGGAATTTCACAATGTTGACATACAGCCAAGAAATGAACGATTAAGGGTGTTACACCACACAAAAGATATCGGAAATTTAAGATTAATTCTAAACCTTTTGTAAAGAAAAAAGCAAATGCAATTCAGTTAAATCAGTTGTAATAATGACAAAAGTTATGTTTATTACAAACAAGATGAATAAACTAGTTTTGCACATGATGAAAACAAATAGTTTTGAAATATAAGTACTGTAGAGGCCATTAAACATGCACTCTGTGGACTTAAATCATCTCTAACATTCCTAATATTTTTAGCATCTCCAAGACCTCAAATGTTTCTACCATCTCCCCAACTGCTACACATCTCTAACACATCATGCTCAAATTTAATTCTAATGTTTTGTATCTATATTTATATAGGCCTACTGACAGTTATAACACATCAAATAATATTAACGCTCAATCACGTATGTATCCTAAATGCGATTGGGACAATCAAGAGTTCTGTGAATATGTTTCAAACAATTTTAAAATGGCTTTCATTGATTTTGATATGTCTACTTTCTCAGGCATTTTTAATCTGCTCAGAAAACTGTGGACGAAATATGTAACAGCCTGATTACCGGCATCCATGATTCGGTAAAATTGTCAAAACCAGAACAACATTGTCTTAGTCGGCACAAAAGGTACATTGGTGTAACAGTGAGAATATTTGGCATTCTCATCCAAGAAAGTACAGACAGGATCTAGGACATGCCATGTATGTGGCAATAGGCATGGTCTTATCCGAAAGTATGGCTTGAACATATGCAGAGAGTGCTTTAGGACGTATGCTAGCGATATTGGTTTTCATTGTAAGGACCATGGTATATGTGATAACATAAAATGTATTATTGAAATGGACTTATTTTTTAATAACAATTTGGATCTCATTAAATTATTATTAAGAAGTTTCTGATGTGTATCTTTAACCATCATCAATTTTTATTCAATTGTTGAATGGTATTATGATGGTATGTACAAAGTAAAGCAAGTATAAGGAAATGGTATTGGTTACAAATTAAAATAACAATAGAACCTAATTAAAGGCGGCATTTAAAGATACTTTACTTTGTATTTTTTGTCAGTTGTCCTCACACTGAGGAAGAACAAGGAGTCTTTGAAATATTTGTGATTTAATAAATTATATTGCTTCATACCTGTTTTTTATTGCTGTCTTTCTATATTCTATCAAATATATATATATATATATATATAGACATATATACATATATATGTATATATATACATATATACATACATACATATATCATA